AGTGTGGATGATACGTTCAGAGTTCACTGTATGCCCTACCTGAAGGATGGCGATGTCGTGTTCTTTTTTCCACGTACTGGTAGTCATCTTCTGTGAACCCGAATTCATCACAATCGCATTCTAAATTTTCCACCCAGTCAGCTTCCGTGAACCCACATTCATCATCAGCGCACTCTGGGACTTCCACGATGTCAACTTGGTTGAACCCAAACTCATCATCATCGCATTCTGAACTTTCCACGGAGTCAGCTTCCGTGAACCCCCCATATTCATCACCATTGTAATCTGGATGGAGCTCCACGACGTCACCTTCCTTGAACCCAAACTCATCATCATCATCATCGCATTCTGAATCTTTTACATAATCATTAGCTTCTGTGGACCGACATGTTCACATGAGACCACGACTGCCAGGCGCCATTTTCAACCTTCACCGGGCTAGGAATTTCCTCCGATTGCGCTGCCAACCCCTCCACCAAACGCGACAGCTGAACATCCCTCACAACTTTCATCTTCTTCTTGTGGGTCTTGACCATACCAAGATTCAGCAGCCCGTCTCCAAATGGGTGGAATTTTGCATTCATCACAGCTTCCTTGGAGTGTCTTGTGACATCTGCATCAATTTTGGCAAGGACTTCGTTAAGGAGTTCATCCAAGTCATTGCACACCATGGTGTGACTAGCCAGACTGTCCGCTTCCAAGCTTTCCATATCGTCGACTGTGATCAAAGCCAAGGCACGATTGATATCCTCAACAACCTGCTTATACGGCATTGTGTCGACATCAATGCTGCTGTCATACCTTCTCTGCAATGTATAGATTTCCTCCAGTAAGAAGGTTTCATTTTCCTTCAAAAGCCTCCGTTTCCTGGCATATACACATCTTTGATACAACGCTCCAGATTTACCACTGCAGAGGCCACTTGTGCTTTCGGTGCCTCGGCAGATGCGATCACTCTCTCCATGTCTGCTTTCTTAGCCTGGTTACGTTGCATGAGACGGTCTACCTTTGCCTGGATCTCCCTCTCGAAATCCTCTTTAGTTTTTATCTGGTGGTTTTTTTTTGCGGGGGGGGGGGCCAAGGCACGCTCGCCCCCCCCCCCCCTGGATCCGCGCCTGCACCGGACACGACAAGCGAACGCCGGAGATATCGTAGATCTCCGCTAGACATTCTCGACAGAAGGTATGACCGCAATTCAATATAGTAGCGTCTTCGATGATGTCGATGCATACTGGACACACCAGATGATATTTTTTGCTGCTTGCCATGGCTTATGCTTGTCCGTTGTCTGAATGAAAAAGCAACACTATTGGAGAATGGAGTGATTATACCAGTCTGCATTACACCTTACATTTTTTTAAGCATGAAAATATCATTTACATCGCAAAATGTCTGTAAAAATCAACCTGTACCTGTTAAAATGTTAAAATGTCAAATCGTCATTCGTTGAAAAACAACATTTTGCAATTAAATTAGAAGATATTGCAGAAGTAGAATAGTTAAAGATGACCTGTGGACAAAGAATGATAATCATACTATGAAAAGGGTTATTCAGATTAAATTTTCTTTCCATTTCTGAAGAAGGCGTACGTCCTACTTAATAATGGAATAGCACTATACCTGTTCGTCTCCGCTTCAAACATGCACCGGCCGTGTCAATAATTGCCTCGATTAAAAAACATATATAATAAAATATGCCAACTTTCTAGATGCTCAATACACTCTCGGGTGATCAGATAAATCGACAAGACACTGCTTTGCTTATCCAACAAACGCAACAATACTATTTGGACATACGGATGTGTACGGATGTGTACTATAGCATGAACGAAAGTGTTCTGGGGATTCCCCAGTATATGACGTCATTTTTCCATACTAGTAGTCTAGAAATAAAGACAGTTTAGCCGATATAACGGAGGGGGGGGGGGGGGGGGCGCCAGGCATCATGGTTTACTCAGCTTGGGTTTGGTAGGGGGAGTACATGCCAGGCGCGGATCCACGTGGGGTGGGGGGCCAACAGGCCCCCCCCCCCCCCATTTTTTTGTCAATAATTAAAAAAACAAAAACTGTTGATATACAATTTTATTTTGTAAGTGATCACACAACCCGCCGGATTTTGCATCTGGAATTTTCACTTATGCAAGATTTTGGGCGAGATATTACCCTGAAGAAAATAGTTAGTAACCCATGTTTAAGGCCAAGATCTGAAAGGTATGGGCACTTTTAGGGGTTCAAATCATTTGATTGTGTATATGAACCACTGGTACATTTGAGTGTAGGATGATAACTGCGGAGAGATTTTCGCTGGAGCATGTGTCGTAAAAGATCACCTCTTCTGCCTTCTGTTTGCTCCCTCTCTCTCCCTTGTTCACTCTCTTACTTGCTCTTCTTCCTCACCCCTCTCTCTCTCTCCCTTCATTTCTCTCTCCCCACTCTCTCTCTCATTCTCTCTTTCCCTTTCTCTCTCTCTCTCTCTCTCTGTAACTCATCACTTCAAATGATAATTCCCAAGTATGACAAAGGCATTTAAATCTATATACTGCGCAAAGATATATTTTTTCATAATACTTCTTGTGTGATAAACAATATGAGTATGCAATGAATACAAAATATAACTGCTGTGTAACTATGAGAAATGCAACATAATAACAAGATTAAGACTTGTTCACATATACCACTGTAAACATCAAATGTTTTTGGTGTGTGTGATGTACATGTATGCCACACGGATAAACAAAGCTTCGCGCAAGAAAAGTCCTATGCGAACTCACTCATCTGTGTGATAAGATATAAAAATGTGAACGCAGTATGCATATAAGTACACTGTAGGAAAAAAACCTGCGTGAACCATTGCATGTATGATTAAGCCTTAATAAAAGATAAAATTGTAACTATATGTCATACAACTTTTATACTTGTACATATAGTTCATAAGTAAAATAAAATGAAAACATAATCGCTGTGTGTTACTTAGATATTACACAAAAGTAATACAAGCAAGGATAGTTTTTGACTTTACAATATCGGTATATGCTTACACATTTTTCCATCATCAACCCTCAAGCAAATCATTCAAAAACTGAATTCTGGCTCCAAAATGTGACTTAAGCTGATATAAAATAAAGTTTGAAGTACATATGATATGCAAGGTATAAAATCAAGGTTTAAGGAATAACTTAATGTTTGATTAACCCTAATGCGCCACTAATATCCTATACGCCAATGGTCCTTTGACCCAAGGTACTATGCAATATTGGTTTCAATACACCAATTGACCAATGTACCAATAGCCTGTACCACTGGTATGATGCTTCGATTTTCCTATTACCGGTAATATCACTGGTCCAATGCATATGGTCTTTTGCACCACCAGTCCCATTAATGCACCAATGGTCTTACATGTATATACTGTACCAATGGTACAATGTACCACATGTCAGGTGTACCAATGGTCTTATGCATCAATGGTCCATTGCACCAATGGTCTTACATTATATACTGTACCAATGGTACAATGTACCGAAGGTCAGATGCACCAATGGCCCTATGCATTAATGGTCTTATGCACCAATAGTCCGATGCATTAATGGTCCTATGCACCATTGAATTGGTCCTACTCTAAACATATTCACTTTTTGCATTGATAATGAATTAAAGAGCTAGGGGTTGTTGCTAACCCAAAACGTAATAACCCTGAACCTCATGGTTAAAAAACACTTTTCATACAAGGACCAATATGTACCAATACGATGTCAAAAATGTTTAGCTTTGTTCTAAATTAACATCATTATATTCAAAAGAAATAAAGAGGAGCTTTTGGAGTATGGTGAAAAAGTAGAAAACAAATTTTGTCTGTTGCAAAGTACTGCGTGTTCATTTCATTGTACTGTGACAAAAACAAGGTAATTTTTTTATTCAGTCAAAATGACCCTAAATGGGTTCAGAGCAAAAAGGAATCAAGGTTATATAATTCGGATTTATCTACGATATACATGACAGATATACAGCATAAACATGTTTATATGAACACAAAACAAGTACTGAGTGACATACACTTGCTATTTGCTAAAGTACAAATACAACAGATACTATAAAGAAAATGAATGAATACCGATTCGTACATGTTTTTCGAAACATCTTTGACATTCAGCTAAGATGAGCTAACACAAGGAACACTTCATGCTACTAATTATCATTTCTTTAAATGACGATTTCATGTACATGTACCCCTTCCCTCTCCCATCAATAACGATCTTAACCTAAAAAGCTAATTTTCTAACAAAGAAATATAATCTAAATCGTGTAGTGTCACGTTGTAATGTTTTGAACAAAAATAAAGAGGAAAAATGTAGCCAAAGTCAACAGGTATCATTTTGTTACACTGATGCATCGGTACTTGGAATGCGTCAGTATATGTCTTAATTCAAAGTTGTAGACCGTGACAGTGTGAGCTCCGTGGGACACAGCTGCAGGCGCGGATCCAGGATTTCTTAGGGGAGGGGGCCCAAATTTTTTTTTTTTTGCTCCCGAAAATTTGAAAATCGCGCCGGCCGAAAAGTCGCTCAGTGGGGGGGGGGGGGGGGGGGGGGGGGGGGGGGGGGGGGGGGGGGGGGGGGTAGTGAGCACATTTTTTTTTTTTTTGATCCTCAAAAAAATTTCAATTTGCACCCCCCCCCCCCCCCCCCCCCCCTTGAGCGCCAGGGGGGGGGCCCAACCCCCAAAAATCGTAAAAATCACGTGATTTTACATGATTTTTTTCTCAAGGGGGGGGGGGGCCCGGGCCCCCCCCCCTGGATCCGCCACTGCACAGCTGATTGTCAGTAGGATAGTTTGGCGATGTCCCACACAACCCCAATGTCAGCTTCATTGTACCCACATCTATCATCGCACTTTGAAACTTCCTTATATTTGTGTGAACTGATATTCATCATCATCATCGCATTCTGAATTTTCCTTGTTGTCAGCTTCTGTACGTGAACCCATATTTCTCTCTATCTCATTCATGTTTTCCACGTAGGCAGTTGAGCAGCTAATCCCGAGAACACAAATTCGCCATCTGCATTTTCCACGTTGTCAGCTTCTATACATAAACGCACCTGCATCTCCAACTCAGTCTGCATCTCCAACTCAGTCTGTATCAGTCTTTCCGCGTAGTCAGCATCCGAGTACGATGCAAAATCATCATCATCGCATTCTGAATTTTCCACGTTGGCAGCTTCTGTACATGAACGCACCTGCCTCTCCATCTCATTCTGCATTACGTTTTCTGCGTGGTCCCCTTCCGAGTACTCAAATTGATCATCATCGCATTCTGGAACTTTCCCGTAGTCATCAGCTTCCGTGAATTGACATTTTTCATCCCTTTGATTAACTCTGTCCTCATAAGACCGACAGGCGCCATATTCAACCTTAGCTGTGTCCTCCGACTGTGCTGCCAACCCCTTCACCAACGGCAGAAGCTGATTAACATCAATCATGACTAGCTCCACCTTCTTTTTGGTCTTGACCATACCAAGATTCAGCAGCTCGTCTCCTGATGGGTGGAATTCCGCATTCATCACGGCCTCCTTGGCGCGTGCCATGGCCTCGGCATCAATTTTGCCGGCAAGGACTTTGTTGAGGAGTTCATCCAAGTCGTTGCACACCATGGTGTGACTAGCCAGGCTGTCCGCTTCCAAGCTTTCTGGATCTTCGGCTGTGATCACCGTCAAGGCACGACTGATATCCTGAACAACCTGATAATAATACAGCATTGTGTCCTCATCAATGCTGCTGTCATAGCTACTCTGCAACGAATGGATTTCCTCCAGTAAGGAGGTTTCATTTTCCTTCAAAAGCCTTGATTTCCTGGCAAACGCATTCTTGATACAACGCTTCAAATTGACCACTGCAGAGGCCACTTGTCCTTTCGGTGCCTCGGCAGATGCGATCACTCTCTCCATGTCTGCTTTCTTAGCCTGGCCACGTTGCAGGAGACAGTCTATCTTTTCCTGTATCTCCCTCTTGAAATCCTCTTTGGTTTTCATTGGGTGGTTCAGATGCCCGGTGACCACGCATCTCATACAGATGTGCACTTTGCATTCCTGGCAGAAGAATTCCTTCTCATGCTCTTTGTGGAAGGGACATGCTTTCGCCGAAGTGAGAGACACCTGGTAGTCATTCGCAAGACTGTTGATCATGACATTTCTGGGGAGTCCCTCGACACCCTTCTCGGTTAACGTCGTCTCTGCTCGACACACCGGACACGACAAGCAAGCTCCGGAGAGTTGGTAGATCCCCTCTAGACACTCTCGACAGAAGGTATGACCGCAATTCAATATCGTAGCATTTTCGATGACGTCAATACATACTGGACATTCCAGGTTATCTTTTTTGCATCTTGCCATGGCTAATTATGCTTGTCCGTTGTCTGAATAAAAAAGCAACAATATTGGAGAATTGAGTGATTATACCGGTCTGCATTAAACCTAACATTCTTTTTTAGCATGAACATATCATTTACTTCGCAAAATGTCTGAAAAATCAACCTGTACCTGTTAAAATGTCAAATTGTCATCCGTTGAAAAACAACATTTCGCAATTCAATAAATTAGAAGAACAGTAATTGCAGAAGCAGAATAAAAGATGACTTATGGACAACGAATGATTCTCATAGAAAATGAAAAGGATTTAAATTTTCAGATTAAATTTTCTTTTCATTTCTGAAGAATTAAGAAGGCCTATATATTTCTAAAATAATGGAATTAATAAGTAGCACTATACCTGTCCGTCACCTCTTCAAACATGTACCGGCCATCTCAACTTGCCTCGGTTAAAAACATATATAATAAAAGATGCCGATTAAGACACTGCTTTGCTTATCCAACAAATGCAACAATACTGTTTGGACATATGGCAGTGCAGTGATCAGATGAAGCGTGAAGTACACGTACGCAGGTACCGGGTTATGGGGATTCCCCAATACATGACGTCATTTCTGCATACTAGCAGTCTAGGTATAAAGACAGTTTAGCCGATATAGCGTTTTAGTAGCGGTTCTAGACTAGTCTGCAAGCACAAACCCTGGTCAGTCGTAAAAGAGAGTCTGCACTATAAGACTACCATAGGCCATGTAATATAGCTGCTCCTGACACAACCAGTAGGTAGCTGGGCTAGGCTTCTCTCAAGGCACAATGATTTTTTGATAGAGTGTCAAATTAGGGTCTGTGCTTGCAGACTAGTTCTAGACTGAGGCTGCGAGGGAGGGGGGGGGGGGCATGCATCATTTTTTTCAATTCAGATTTGGTTTGGACGGGGAGTGCATGCATGCTGCTGAAGCGGCTAAACCCATACCCATTTTTAAGGGTCATTTTTGGCAAAAAAAAATAGTGGAACCCATTATTATAAGACTTTGGATGAAAAAGCGAAATGATTTAAAATCATTTTTGCCGGATTTTGCATCTGGAATTTTTATTCATGCAAGATTGTGGGCGAGATATTATCCTGAAGAAAATGGTTAGTAACCCATGTTTAAGGCCAAGATCTGAAAAGTGGGGGTACTTTTAGGGATTAAAATCTTTTTATTGAAAGTCGGGTGTATGAACCAGTCCTGGTATGAACCACTGGTACATTGAGTGTAGGATGATAACTGCGGAGAAATTTTCGCTGGAGCATCTGGCGTGCAAGCTCACCTCTTGTGCCTTCTGTTTGCTCTCTCTCTCTCCGTTGTTCACTCTCTTACTTGCTCTTCTTTCTCATCCCTCTCTCTCTCCGGCCCTTCATTTCTCTCTCCCCACTCTTTCTAATTTCCTACCTCCCTTTCTCTCTCCCCACTCTCTATCTCTCTCATTCTCACCCATCTCTCTCATTCCCTCCCTTCCTCTCTCTCCCTTCATCTCTCTCTCCCTCTCTTTTCAGCTCTCTCTCTCTAATTCCCTCCCTCCCTTTCTCTCTCCCAGCTCTCTCTTTCTCATTCCCTCTTTCCGATTCTCTCTCCCGCCACTCTCTCTCTCTCTCTCACACACACACACACTCTCTCTGTAACTCATCACTTCAAATGATGAATTCCAAGGTCAAGGGTATCTAAATCTATATACTGAGCAAAGATATATATTTCATAATACTTCTTGTGTAATAAACAATATGAGTACGCAATGAATACAAAATATAACTGCTGTGTAACTATGAGAAATGCAACATAATAACAAAATTAAGGCTTGTTTACATATACCACTGTAAACATCATTTTTTGGTGTGTGTGTGTGTGTGTGAACTACATGTTAATGTGTGGCATGTGGGAATGATAAAGGTAGCTTCATGCAAAAAAAAGTCCTATGTGAACTCACTCATCTGTGTGATAAGATGTACAAAATAATGTGAAGCGCAGTACGCATAAGAACGCTTTGAAAAAATCCCAACGGTGAACCATTGCATGTATGAACAAGCCTTAATAAAGTATAAAAGTGTAACTATACTTCATACAACTTTTATACTTGTACATAGTTCATAAGCAAAATGACATGAAAATATAATCTCTGTGTGTTACTTAGCTATTCAACAAAAGTAATAAAGCAAGGATAGTTTTTGACTTCTCAATATATGCTTACATGCAATTTTCCTTCACCAACCCTCAAGCAGAATCATTCAAAGACTGAATTCTTGATCTAAAACTGAAGTTTGAGTACATATGTAAGGTATAAAATCAAGGTTTAATGAATAAATGAATGTTTGATTACACCCTAATTGGTCCAACTCATTACTGATCTCATGCGCCAATGGTTATTTGACCTGAGGCACTAAGCAACAAAGGTCTGTACCACTGCATGGTATTATGCATCAATGGTCCTATTAATATCAATGGTACAATGTATCAATGGTCCATTGCACCAATGGTCTTTCATGTATTTCACCAATGGTGCAATGTACCCAAGGTCAGGTGCGCCATTGGCCCTATGCATTAATGGTCTAATGCACCAAAAGTCTGATGCATTAATGGTACAATGTACCAAAGGTCAGGTGCGCCATTAGCCCTATGCATTAATGGTCCTATGCACTAATAGTCTGATGCATTAATGGTATTATGCACCCAAAGTCTGATGCATTAATGGTCTTACATGTATTTCACCAATGGTACAATGTACCAAAGGTCAGGTGCACCATAGGCCCTATGCATTAAAGGTCCTATGCACCATTTGTCCCGCTCTAACATATTCACTTTTTGCATCGATAATGAGTCAAAGAGCCAGGGGTTATTGCTAACCCTAAAACGTAACCCTTAACCTCATGGTGATACTTAACATTCTAGCATAGGACCAATATGTACCAATACGATGTCAAAAATGTTTAGCTTTGTTCTGAATAAAATTCAGTATATTCAAAAGAAATATAGAGAAGCTTTTGGAATATAATGAAAAAGTAGAAAACATATTTTGTCTGTTGCAAAGTACTGCGAGTTCACTTCATTGTACTGTGACATAAACAAGGTGATTTTTTTTTAATTCAGTCAAAATGACCTGAGATCTACCTTTAATATAAAAAACTAGGACTAAACAGAGCTTTCCAACTTTGAGAACAAGATAACCCTAAATATACAAACAATTGAACCTTTTGCCAATTTGCAAAGATGAACACAGACAGAATACTTGAATATGGGAAGAACAAGTTTCTTTAAAGCACAAAAGTCATAGCAAAATGTAGCAAACCTCATTTAAAATCGCCTATAATTTGCCTTTAACATTAACAAAAAGGAATCATGGTTATATAATTCTAATTTATCTACGATATACACGACAGATTTACAGCATATATGAACACAAAAAAAGTACTGAGTGACATACACTTGCTATTTGCTAAAGTACAAATACAACAGATACTATATAGAAAATGAATGAATACCGATTCGTACATGTATTTCGAAACATCTTTGACATTCAGCTACCACAAAGAACACTTAATGCTACTAATGATCAATTTTTTTGAAAACTATTTCATGTACATGTAATAGGTGTTTCCATGGGTGTGGTCGTATTGGAATACGACTGGAAGACTTTGTGAATTATCGTCAGATGGTGGGAAAGTGGTGACAAAGGCGATCTGGAATACTTCCCGTTCACCACGTAGACACGGGTATTAAATCCTGGACGCAAGTGAGGTTGTATAGAAGATTTGTGCAATAATGGATATACAAGTTGTACACGTTAAGAATTTCAAATGCATGCGATAGCGTAGCTCAAAATACAAGTACATGTATGAAGATACTGAAAATTGCTTAACAAGAACCTGGTGAATAACAAGATAAAGACATTCAAATAATAATTCTGTTGAAAATAAAAATATACTGTATATGTTGTGGTAAATTGTCATTTATAAGAAACATCTTATGCTAATAAAATAGCCATATATGTCTCTATAAAGACCTTTCCTTCAAAAGAGTTGCATTAAGTAGAACTGTTCTTAATGATAAATGCTAAGCAAAGTATAAAATATAAAATTGTAACAAACAAAAGCCCTAAAGTACAGTCTAAAGATATTGATATGGTCCTTAAACATATTACAGTGTACATGTGTTCTATTGAAACATTTTTGTTTACATTTTACGCTAGATCCTATGGAACATAAATCTCTTGATTTGAATACATAAAGCACACTTATATGGCGAATGGAAATCTGACTCAAGCCCACCGAACACTATTAGATCCGACTACGATCCGACTACGATCTGATTTTGGAAGAATTTGCAATAGCATTTCATATAAACATTCAAATGATTCAAATGTGAATGATCGAGGATCTAAATAGTCTTATGATTAATGAAATCTAAATTTAATGGATTTCAAACTTCCTTGAAGATGGAAAACCTAAATTGACTCAGAATCACAATAACATCAGGGACCCGTTTCACAAAGCCTTTTTTTCAATGACAAATGACAAAAATCAGTGACAAATCCGCTGATCACCAATCAGAAGCAAGGATTTCAGTAGCTTATAACAAAAACTGTCATTTGTCACTGATGACAAGTTTTGTGAAATGAGCCCAGATGAGTCGTGTGATTGTCTACGATTTGAAGCTGATTCAACTTTTTATTCTGACTAGAAACCTTACATGCAATCAAATTCAAAGTGTTAGTATTCTTATGATCTAGAACCTAACTTACGAAGATGATGTTTACCGGTATGTATCTAAATACACTGTAGATTTGCCATTTTTTGAAAATCGGATCGCATGAGATTGTACAGTGTGTGGTGGGTTAAAAGTACATATGTACATGTATAGTTGTACATATTTAATTTGGTCCATCAATAATACATCCCCTGCATATGTGTTATACATGTACTTCACAATGATAACGTTTTCATGAGTTTTACAAACTACAGTAAATATTCTTATTATATGTCTCTGACTGTGCAATTCTTTTATGTTTATACTGGTTCTTTATTGAAGATTGACAATAAAGTGATACAAAATCAAAACATTCCTTGACAAACATGGGATGGCACATGTATAGGCCTACAGATACAGTATATGTCATGAATGGCTGACTTTGAAATTAAGTACTCGCAATGGACAATCTGGTTTGCCCTAAGTAATAGTCAGAACCATCATACAGTATTTTTCTCTTGAAGAACCACATATAAAGCACTAATTCCAACCAGATCAAATAGCCGCAATTGATCCAGATCGATTGCAAGTCCTCAAAATTCTTTGCACACTTAAAATAACATATCTCACTACTTACATGAACAGTTGCTTTTTCTTTACCAGGAATATCAAACTCCTTTCAAAGTTGTAATACATCTGAATCGATTGTCAAAGTACTAAATTTGATCTTCATACAATATAATCATTAAAAATAAAATGACAAGGAAATTCATAACATACATGTAAATCTTAAATCCCTCTTCCCAAAGTATGAAATAATAATTTGATATAATATCCCATGCACCAATACTGCTAATCTAATGAATTTTACATGAATATTGTATACCACACCATAAATACATTTATCTATACATACATGTAGGTATTCAATGCAGTGTACTGTTTGCACATGACGCAGTGAATCACTTCACTGAAAAGCCCTTATGGTGAAATAAAACCACTTGGATGCTACTCAATAGCAATGTTGACACATGGTACAAAGAAGTACCGGTAATGATGTAGGCTTAACCATATTTTATTGCAAGCCAAACCTACTAATTTTACACTGCAAACATCTGAAATCTCATGAATCCAAATTTGGAATCGCTCAAAGCAAAATTTTGAATCTCTTATACAGCACATGCTTGTGCTGTGAGAAAGAAGAAGTAAAAAAAAGAGTGATAGGAATCTAGGATTATTACGGTATATTACTTTCAATGGCCAAATAAAAGGAGTTATTATGTAGCCCTCCAGTGCATAGCTTCTACAATGCAGGCCTTAAATTTCAATATTTTTAGGGCAAGGCCACTTTTCTGTAGGGCACATTCCTATATTACAGCACAAATAGGAAGAATTGGAAAGGGCACAACAAATCTCCAAGGCCAATGAGAGGGGCATTGAGGCCAATCAAAAGGGCATCCACGGCCATGGCCTTGGATTAATTTAAGCCCTGCAATGTACATGTATGTGTCCATGACATCAATGGCTTTTGGAAGGTGATTTACTGCCTCATGTGCAAGCAACCCAAATTCATTCAATGCATTTGTCTAATAATCAAATGCATTCATAAAGCATTTTTCTTAAACACTTTGACATAAAACATGGCAAGATTTTACTTCTTCCTCTGAGTTTCGCATCAAGAACTAAAGCCTTGTCACAAAGATATATATTACATACTGAGAAGCAAAAGGGAGTAATAACTCTGTGTTTTAACTCAGAGTAGTTCAGAGATTTCTTAATTCATCAGTTTTTCTCATCAAATTGGCAACACTTATTCTTATTTTACACTCCTACATAGTTTCAGAAGAATTAAAATGTTTATCAAATGAACCAATGTGAATGTAAATTGTAATATTAAACTGCAAAATTGCCAATTTGTACACAAAAATAGTGATTTAATATTTTACAACGTGTTGTCAATATAGTAATTTCAATGATTAGATTAAACCTTTTCTGTGATTTTTGCTTTTTCTGCTCATGTATAATGTGTAAATCCTAGCATTGTACATCAAAAGATAATGCAAAAACCTCTCTAAAAGGAGATACTGCACTGCTATATGTACAGTATGGGTCGATAGGACAATTTATATTCCATCACAAAGTCTTTTGGAGGACAGCAATCCAAGAATAACACCCTTCTGGCTCTCAGCAGTCCCTATGGTCTATAACATATGCAGCTTATTTATACAAAAGTTTAAAAATAATTCTTGAAATTTAATGCATCTGCTTTAAGTTTACATGCTCATTCGCAACATGCATTCCATCTACAAACAGATACCATAAATAAGGCTCATTTCTGTGTGGAATGAACATTCTTTTTTCCTGATTAGATACAAATTAAAGCCGACACCAAAACAGTATGGACCCCCTTATATTGACCTGATTACGGGAGGAAAGGTCCATTCTGATAATAGGGGTGTCATCTTAGCAGTCAGGTAAAATAACCACCACTACTATCTAACCAATAGGCTGGAAGCAACCTGCAACAGGTGGATCAATCCATTCTGATAATAGGGGTGTTATCTAGCCAAATGAGCTGGAAGCATCTTGCAACAGGTGGATCAATCCATTCTAATAATAGGCGTGTCATCTAGCCAGATGAGCTGGAAGCATCCTACAAAAAGGTGGGTTGTTCCATTCTGATAATAGGGGTGCCATCTAACCAAATGAGCTGAGGGCAACCTACGACAGACGGATCAATCCATTCTAATAATGGGGGTGTCATCTAGCCAAATGAGCTGGAAGCATCCTACAAAAGGTGGGTCGTTCCATTCTGATAGCAGGGGTGTTTAAAGCCAGTCTGCACTAGTTTGGCCAGGGGGATTAGACCGCCCTGCAAGGTCACTGACAGGTGGTTATCTCATCAAATCAGCTCTCAATGACCGTAAGAAAAAGAGGATAATGGGGGACCAACAGGCACCGATTAGGCATTGTTTGCTATATAGAGGGCGCAAGTAGCTATAAGTAGTGCAGAGGGGCTTTAAACGAAGACGCCTTCAGGGTTGTCCGAGCTCGGTGCTTGCTTGAAGAGGTCTCTAGGGCTTTTGAGCATCTTACGCGCAGGATTGTTTCCAGGAGCTGAAAAAGAGAAAATACAGGGCAAAAGAAATTGATAAGAATGTGCCTTCGATCTAATGTAGACTGGCCTACATCTGCTCCCATAATGCACTAGTGATGAGGTCATTAGCCTGTATGTCTTAGGGTTCTCTTAAGAACAAGAAATCAAAAAACAGCTTTGAACAAAGTTTTGCATTCATTACAGTTAAACATATGAAAAACATTTGAAAATAATTGGAAGAATTTTTTTTTTTTTTTAAATAGGAGATAAGAATTAAAACTTAATAACAAAGTCAAGAACAATTAAGTCTTGGGAGAGATATTCAGCAATACATTTATATAACATGGCATAAATGAACCATGTATGAATCTTGATAATTAAACTGTCATGACATGACAAGTCATTCAACCCACTGATTGGTACGACGTTTGTGAACTTTTGAAACCCGAATGATGGTGTCATCAAATTTCACCCAAAACTCTTACCCATTATATATTTTGTGGCATACACTTTCAATCACAATGCTTGTTATCACTGTTTATCTTGATAGAGAAACTGTCTCATGGAATCTTAGTTAACAACTCATGAATCTATTTATTGTCCAAACAAAAAAGAGGAGACTCTATATATGGTTTTCACACTTATTTTTTGCTTAGCCCTGTACTTTTCTTAGCCCCAGACTTACTTTTTTGACTTTTCGCACACGCTGTTTTAGTCCCGTACTAAGAGCCTATCCAGGAGTAAGAAAATTCATGTTGTTCCCGGAATTGCGGTGTAAGCCTTGCTGTTTTGCAGGACCAACTAACCCTGTATTTTAGGTGGGGCTAGCCCACCTTGGTAAATTTGTGTCTGAACAGAAAGTGGGCTAAACTTAGCCCAGGACTATAGGAGGGGCTAAGACCCCTCTTTAGCTCCACCTAAAGTTTCGGGCTAAGCAAAATTGTATCAGTGTAAAAAAAGCATTTAAGGGGATTAAACCGACTACAGTATTGGACAGATTAATCTGCCAAGGAATAACAATGGATTATTAACTACAAAAAAAGAAATAAAGAAAGAAAAGATTATCCTCTTTCTTCCTTCACTGATATAGAAGCTTACATGGATTTTTGATGAGTTCTCCAAGTTTCTTCTTCTCTCCATCCTTCTCTCGATCCTCTTTCTCCTTCTGAGCCGCCTCCTTTCTCTTTTCTTCAGCTACCTTGTTCTCCTCTTCCTTCCTCTCATCCTCTGCTCTCTTTTGTTCTTCTTCTGCCTTCTTCATTTCTTCTTTCTTTCGTTCTTCCTCCACTCTCCTTTCTTCTTCCAATTTCCTCCTTTCTTCCTTCGCTCTCTTTTTTCGTTGTTCTTCTGTTCTCTTCCTTTCCTCTTCGACTCTCTCCTTTTCTTCTTCCGCTCTCTTCCTTTCCTCTTCAACAAATTTCCTTTCTTCTTCGGCTCTCTTCCTCTCTTCTTCTTCTCTCTCTCTTTCTTCTTCCTGTCTTTTCCTCTCTTCTTCTTCCTTAATCTCCTTGTCGAGCTTCTTAATCTCCTTTTGCTTCTTCTCTAGCAGCCTCTCCACTTCCTGGATGTCCTCGTTGACTTCTTGGAGACTGTCTGCGTAGCCTTCGAGCTCCTTCTGGAACACTGTCAGTTCAACTTGGACAGCCTGTAAACAAAAACAAAAACAAAAACATAATAATGGATTACAGGTAGCTTAAAGCCCCACTGCACTACTTATAGCTACTTGCGCCCTCTATATAGCAAATAATGCCTAATCGATGACCGTTGGTCCCCCATGGTCCCCTTTTTCTTATGTTAATTGAGAGCTGATTAGATGAAATAGCCACACGTCAGTAACCATGCAGGGAGGTCTAATCTCTCCTGGCCAAGCTGTGCGTCTAAAACATTACAAATATACATTATTATCCCGATCACTGGATTCATGCTTACACATTCTCCACTCCCTAGGGAGCATTCCAACCAGTCACCATTTTACAGACGCTCACAGTACTGACCAAACTGCAATGTACAAAGACTTACACATACATGTACTATTCAATTCAAATGAGGTTTTATTCAAGACTTGTCAAAAAGTCCAAAGACTAAAAATGCAAGTTTACATCAAACATAATAAAACAACTATCAGATACAGCTTCAAAAACTGGGTGGACAGAGCCAAAAGTGAATCAATGTCTTGCCAAACGATGTTAGTGCCAGGCTGGGATTCAAACCATCAACGTTTGGATTGAGAGTGAAGTGAAAGAACAAACTACTATAATACGACACCTCGATAAGAAGCAGTGACATCAGTCAGTTCGAAGCAATGCCTCTAAATTTGGTCAAACCAGAAGTTTTGTGACTTGTAAATGCCATTGCCTTCTACAGGAAGAAACTTGTTGTGATTCAAAAATACAGGTATTTAGTGCTGTATCAGTTGTGACTCAATTATTTGGCAGCATCTTAACCACATAATGCACACAAAGGTTTCAGGTTATTATCAGTCAGTAGCCTGAAATGTATTGTAGCTCTTTCTGGAACACTGTCAGATCACCTTGCAATCTTGCACACGAAAAGCAGAGACATGTATGTCAGTCAGAATCCAACTGATTGAAATCTGTTAGAGCTCCACAAGTTCTACGAAAGCCTGAAAGCACCTCGAAAACCATAGTGATAAGGCCCCAAATCAGGTTAGCCTTAAAGCTTCACTGTCCTACTTGTAGCTACTTGCTCCCTCTATATAGAAAACTTCCCCAATCGGTGCCTGTTGGTCCCCCATGATCCTCCTTTCCTTATGTTAGTTGAGAGCTGAGTTAATGAGATAGCCAGCTGTCAGTGACCTCGCTGTGTGGTCTAATCCCTTCTTGCCCAGTAGTATTGATGGTCTTTAAACCTGGCATCTTTTTACCAGTCATAAAAATCATCTTGGACTATATAATGTACTTTTAAAGCAATAAGCACTCAGTTCGACTTGCATATATTACAAACAAATTGAGTTAGGCAGATGGTTAAATAAATCATAAAAAATCTCTTAGCACCAAGGCTAATATTCATACAATCATTAAACCCAATTCCAGGTTTAAACTCCAACTCGTGTGGCTTGAAGCAGGGCATTTATGCGCATTGCCTTAAAGCACATTTCTGTTACCTTACTGCTTAAAGATTTTAATGTATCTACAAGTATACATGTAAATTATACTATGTTTTTAAAATGACAGCGTTTTCTCTCTTTATCAACTAATACAAAAGCGAGAAATGGATTGTAATGCCCTAGTAGAATTGTATTAAATAAGCAAAGAATTTATAAGTTACAGGCATTTTAATTCCAATGACTTTCTGCTATAAAACGCAGTAGAGCGGATCCAGAACGTTGCAATGCGCTATTAAATGCACTTCTGCCCTCTGCAAGACAAACTACATGTACAACAAGTGGGGAAAGTTCTCCCGCCTATTCATCAAGCATACACTGTGAAGCTCTTCATTACAACAAATTTACAATCATACATGAAACAAACCAAAATGGAAAACAAGTTGTGACAGTTTCCGGTTATACATTTTACAAATCCTCATACCTGTAAATATAAACTGCTTTATAAACGTAGACAGCAACTACATGTACTTGTACAGCACTGCAGGTATCGTAGCACCTTACAACATACCGGTAAAGCAATCCTAAAAGGAATTCCTTTGTCCAGTGTTCACCCAATGACTGGTCAGAACAAAACACCTTGGTCCTACTCTCGAAGAGAACCCTTATTTCCTCTTACCTCTCGCCTTCAAGAATTCAAAAGATCTGATTACAAAGGAACTGTCGCAGTGCAATTCGATTAATTTTCTTTTTTAAACCACCCAAATTTTGTTTAATCCCTAAAGAGTTTAATCCCATAAGAGTCGCTTCAGAGTGAAATCTTATACATTGAGCTGTGAATCAAAAACCGAATAGTGATGTTTTGATTGACATTTCTTGACAACATTGACCTTTATCTTTCTCTTCTCCTCTTATACTTTCTTTCTTTCTTTTTTTCTTTCTTTCTTTCTCTCCATCTCCCTGGGTGTCCTTTTCTAAGCATTCTACAGTATGTATGTCTGTCTTTCTCCCTCTGTCTCTCTCTCTCTCTCTGTACGTCTGTCTGTCTCTCTCTCTCTCTCTCTCTGTCTGTCTATCTGTGTCTCCCCCCCTCTCTCTCTCTCTCTCTCTGTCTTTCCCTCACTCTACTTCTCCATGTTTCTCTATTGGTCTCTGCTTCTCTGTAAGTTTGTTTGTCTCTCTTTCCTCCTGTACTTCTGTGTCTGCCTGTGTCTCTCTAAGTTTATCCATCTCTTCCTTTCTGCCCTTGTGTCTGTGTTTCCATAAAAATTCCTATCTCTTCGTGCATTTTTCTGTGTCTCTTTCATCCTGTCTTTTCTCCTCTATCTCTCTCTGTCTGTCTGTCTATCTGTATCTCTCCATAGATCTACATGTATCCATCTCTTTCTCCCTCCCCTTCTCTCTGTGTCTCCATAAACATGTACGTTTCCGCATCTCTTTCCTCCCATGTTTCTCTCTCTCTCTTTCTCTCTCTCTTTCTCTCTCTCTTACTATCAGAACCTGTTCCTCTTTGTCTTTCTCTCTCTCTCTCAATGTATTCATCTCTCTCATTGTATTCATTCCATGTCTACAACTGAAGATCTTCATACATTTGTTCTCCCCCTCTCACATTTCATTGTAAAAACTTCCTTGCACTTTCGCCCCTACCAACCAATCACAAGTAACCAATAAAAAGCCAAGCCCTTCCTCAGAGTATTAAAATAAAACTATGATTTATCATTCTTGGCTTTGGTTGTCAAAGCATATAAAATAACAAGATTTGAAGAAAAAAAACAGTAATGATAATACATACATGCAGAGTAGAGTTACCTGTAAAGTTATTACCAACAAGGGAAAGAGAAACAAAAATTGAGGGAGTTTTATGATGCAAGTTTTATTGCAGGGATTGCTACATGCATTTGAACGTGTACAGGTCAAGCTTTTAGTTAACCCTCACGGCACCGCTTGCACATGTGTATCCGTGTAACCATGGTTACTTTGTCCCTCAATATACACTGAAATGTACGGTAATGTAAATCTAGTCAATGTATTTCAATGTAAAAAAGAAAGAAAAAAAATCAAGAACAAAAGGAAACAAATCAAACAAAGGGAGACTGCCCCCTTTGTTCTTTCATTGTTTCCCTTTCTGTGTCTCTACCTTGCTCTCAGAGAAAGAGACGGAGAGAGACGGAGAGATAGAAACAGAGACAGAGAGAGAAAAGGGGGAGCAAGAGAGATTGAAGCTTCAAGTCAGATAAGCACAATGCTTGATGATGCTTAAATAAACCATTTAAAATAACAATAACTTAATATACTTTTGAAATTTCACCCTCCAGTGAAATCACACACTTGTGTTTCAGAGCTAAACAGGGTCAAAAGGTCACTTCACCAAAGTTCAGCCGACCTTGAAGGCTTCGGTGCCTGACATATTAATAACAGTTGAATGTCGAATACATGCTATAAAGCTATCAATCTAACAAAACAACACACTTTCATGCACTCTCTTCATCATGTCACCAGGTAATAACAACCTGGGGGCCAGTTTCTCGAAACCGTCATCAGTCTAACTTCTTAGAAATCTCATTGAAAGTTTGAAAAGTGTGTTATAGAATTAAAACGTGTTTCTATGCGATGTCCACGAACTTAGACCTTTGACGGTTTCGAGAAACTGGCCCATGGAACCAATTTGGTTGCTTTGTTCCACTTCAGGGAGTGCAGTGATTTGTATGTAATGTTGAGGCAATAGATAACCTTCAACAAATCAATTAAGTAACTTAAGATACCTAAGTAACTGGTAAGCACTTTGTTTTAATATTAATGAAATTAACAGCTTTCCAGATTACAAGGAGGTGTGAGTCGGTTTTAGCGGTACCTTCAGTGGTACGCTCAGCTTTCTGTCTTCACTTACAAACTAATGTTCCCCAGGGAGTGGAGAATGTGCATAAATTGTGGGCGGGTAAGCCTGAATCCGATGACCAGGTAATAATATATCTTAAGCGTTTAGACACATCGTTGTATCAATGTATTGGGCGCTGTATAAAAGCAGAATATTATTTTTATTATTAACCCAGATTCTACACCAAGTCCCTTTGTTCAGATGGTGATGTTATTGGTTGGTCCCCAGACATTAAAAAACATATCGTTGACACATGTCTGTCAAACTCTAGTTATACCTCATTCACACCGCTGAACCAACTTTAAAGCGACCGTTTCCTGGCCATAAAAGTAATTTTTGTTTGATCTGTTGTCGGTCTGGTATCGGTTTCGTTGGTTTGACTAAGATAATAGAGTACCGAAGCTGTGACGTCATAAAAATCTATTTTTAGAATTTCTCAATTTTTTTCTTCATTTTCTGAAAGAGCATCGAAAATAATGTCCAAATGTTGAAACCAATCGAGTATATTAAGTATTGGCTGAGATATGATCATCTGAATGAATATATCTTTTTATTAAGATGGTCATATCTCAGCCAATACTTAACATATTCAATTGGTTTTCGACATTCGGACATTATTATTTATACTCTTTCGGAAAATGAAGAAAAAAAATTAAAAATTCTAAAAATAAATTTTTGATGACGTCACACATCACCACTCTATACCCACAATACCTTTAAGTGAGAAAAACAGACTGAGAAGAAGGATGAAACTACTTACATGAAGATCTTGTTTTGCTTGCTCGTCTCCCTCTCTTTCGATCCTCTCTTCCTCCTTCTGTATCCTTTCATCTATCTCCTCTATCTCCGCTTGTTTGACCTCCGTCTGTTTCTGACATTCGTGTACCTTCGCCTTCAATGTTTTCACCTGCAATAAATAATAACATTAAAACAATCATAGAATAGACTATAATGTCCTTTGGCAAGACATTAATCTACATTTGCCACACTCTACCCAGGTGATGTAAATGGGTTACCTGGCAGGAATTAATTCCTTGAAATGCTAGAGTGCCGTAATGGCAGCCATGCTACAGCCAGGGTAATAATTGCAGAGCGCCAGGAGTGTCAAGTATGACAGATATGAGCACTACACAAGAACCCAATATTATTTAATAAAATGATGATTATTAACTTCTGGACCTCACTTATTTCTCCTGTTTCTGACATTTTTTACCTTCTCCATTCATGTTTTCACCAGCAACAAACACAATCTGGGCCCCGTTTCATAAAATTTGTTATCAGTTACAAATGCTCAATCTAATCTGTATCATAATATGAAAGAAGATGTCATTAAGGACACTGAAAAAGGACAATGATTTAAAAAAAAAATATGTTTGAAGTCGAATATTGATGACAGGATACAAAATGTAGGTTTCTGCATACAATGGAAAACCCAAATTATGTATTCTTTTATCAATATTTGTCTTCAAACACATATTCGGGGGGATATCTTTGCAGAAGTGTGTCTTTAATAAATGACATCCTCTTTCACATTATGATATAATTTAAGCGAAATTTTGCCATCAAACTTTTGGCGAATTTGGGGCTCCCAACACTTAAGAGGCGCTTTGAGGTTAGATTTCTTCTTACCTCCTTCATGAGTCTCTCGCACAGCTGCTGCTCGATCTCCAGCTCGTTCTCCCAGAATTCCATCTCCTTGAGAGCGCTCCTGTTCTTCTTGACCGCCTGCTCAAACTCGATGATCTTATCCTCGATCTGGTCAAACTCCGGATCAAGCTCAAACATCTGAAGGGACAGACAGGCCTCCTCGATGTTGGTGAGTTGTGATATCTGCGTCTCAATCCGCTCCTGTTGCACGCTAACGATCTGGTTCAGCTCGTTGATCTTCTCCTTCTCCTTCTGTCGCTTCTGAGAAGAAAAAAGTTTTTAAGAAAATCACCCAACATGGTACAGTCAAACCTGCTTTAGTGACCACCTGTCTACAAAGACCACTTGTCTACAACAAGCACATTTTTTGTTTCCCTTGAAAATGGTTTCTCATTGAAACATGTACTCAAGGAACCTGTCTACAAAGACCACTTTTTTGTGTTTCCCTTGGGCGGTCACTACAGAGTCTATAAAGTACCTACCGGGTATTCAATAAATGGGTAAAATATAATAAACTGCTACGTATTTGATATTTGACTTTATCATCCATTTACACAATTGGATAATAGTTTGGTTTGTAATAACCTTTAATTTATGTAATATTTCAAATTTGTTTCTTTATTCTATTTACCCAGTGTCTTGTGTCCCAAGATACCAGGTTTGATTTGCATTCATGCTATTTTCTGGTTCCTTTTAAACTTTTATGTTTTTGTATAAAACTGTTTATACCTATTTTAATGTGTTTATTATTTGATAATAAACCTCAAGTTCAGGTCAGTAAGGTTCAGTTCATGTTGTAGGATCCAAGAATTATGTTTTAAGTGGCCTTACCTGATCTTCGTCTTTTTTCCTGGCGACTTCTTTCTGTCTTCTGGCCTCCAAAATTTTGACCTTCTCCATCTCGATGCGCTCCCTTCTTGCCTTCTCTTTCTTCTGCAGCTCCTCCGCCCTTAGAATCTCCAACTCCTTCTGTCTCTCGATCTCCTTCAGTCGCTCTTCCTCCGTTCTCCTGGCGACCTCCGCTAACCTAGCCTTCTCAAGTTCCAAGGCCTTGAGCCTTTCATTCTCTCTCTTCTTTAATTCTTCTTCAAGTCTCTTTTTCTCCTTTTCTATCTCCTCCTGTTTTTGTAGTTCATTCTCGCGCTCCTCCTTCTGCCTTTGTACCACCGTCTGTCTCTCCTTCTCTGCCATCCTGACTTTCTCCCACTCCGCTTCCTGAAGTCTTAACTTTTCTCTTTTAAGTTCTTCATCTTTATGTCTTTGGAGTGCTTTTTGATGCTCAATCTCTTTTTTCCTTAATACCTCTTCTATTTTCCTCTTTTCTCTTGCTATATCTCTCTGCTTCTGTATTTCTATTTGACGTGCAATCTCGTGCTCCGCTATACGCTCCTCTTCCCTTATCTCAGTTTCTCTCCGAACTCTTTCTATCTCTAGCTTTCGCTCCTCTTCCTTCTGCACTTCTCTTTGCCTATCCTCCTCTCTCTGCTTTTCCAATTCCTTTCTCTTTCCTTCTTCCATCTTCTTCTGTTCTTCAAAAGCTTTTGCTTCTCTTTGTAACCTATTCCTCTCTGCTTCCCATTCCTTCTCTCGCTCCAAGGCTGCTATTCTTTCCGCCTCTTTTTTCTTCTCTGCTTCTTTCCTCTTCTCTTCTTCCTTCTGACGTTCCAACTCTTTCCTCTTCGCCTCTTCTTTCAATTGTGCTATCTCCTCCTCCTTAGCCCTCTGTTCTTCTCTTTGCCTCTCTTGCAATCTCTCAAGTTCATTCTTCTTCTCATCCTCCTTCTGCCTATCCTTTTCTCTCATCATCTCCTCCAAATGTCGAATCTTACGTTCCTTTTCTTCCTGCTCTCTCAGGTACTGTTGTCTCTGTTGTTCAAGTTCTCTTTGTTTCTCTGCATCTTTCAAACGTTCAATTTCCCTTATCTTCACCCCCTCCTCCACCCCTCTCACCTTCGCCTCCTCCTTCCACCTCTCCCTCTTTCTTTGTTGTTCCTTCTCGATGGCTAATGCATGCTGCCGTCCTATCTCTCTATTATGGTCCATAAATCTCTCCCTTTCAATTTCCTTCATCTTCTCAACACCTTGATCTCTCTCCATCTCCCTATTCTTCTCCTCGTCCTGCATCCTCCTTTCTTCTTCCTCCTTCCTCAGCTGGGCGTGCCTTTCTAGCTCTAGTCTTTGGAAGGCACCGTGCTTCCCGCCCCCACTCGTCGACCCCTGATACGCCGCAACTCTCAAATAGTCATCATCACCGTCAACACTGAAATCAGCCAAGGTCATGAAGCGTTCGTCAGGACTTGACAGGTTGAGGCTCGTCACGGAGGACGGCCTACTGCTGTGCGGTGTCTGACTAAACGGTGTTGTTCCTTTCCGTTGGAGGTAGTAGCGGACGTTCTTGGACATGGGACCCCATTTCTCTAAGGCACGATAAGGGCTCTCCTGCGGGTGCAGGATACGCTCAGTCTTTGGAGATTTCTCGAAGAGGTTGAAGCGCCCGACCTGACCCGTCGATTGAGCCAGAGCAACGACTACTTCCTGGCAGGTCGTGAACTCGTTGATCCCGCACACCACTCGCGGGAACCCGTCCACCCAGACCTTTAGCTCCACCATGGCTGGTAGAGGGCGCTGTCTATTTATGAGGCCATTGTGATGTCATCGGGGAAGATCCATAATGGTGAGGAGTGCTTCTTTAGGCAGCAGTGGCACCTGGAAGAAAAGAGAGTACATTATGAGAATAAATAAAATGTTCCAAGTAGTATTCCAAGATCAGAGTACAACCATACAGAATGTAGATGTACATGTACATTTTTAAAAATAATAGAATCTAGCAGTTCTGGTACATGCAACCTTGTTCAAAGTTTATCCAAGTTTATCAGAAAATACATTTGCAATTTACATCTATGCTGTTCCAAAAATTTTAACATACACAGGTTGGCAGATTGTACGAACCAAATAATGTTTATGTACATGTACATACATTGTACATGTACATGTATAGCAACAGTGATAATGATAATTAAGATAACAGTAATAATTAGTAATAATAGCAATGATGATGATGATGATGATGATGACAACAACAATAATATTAATAATAATAACAACATCAACACTCCTGACGACGGATAGTCAACCTGTTCGAAACATCGAGCCACTCATCCTCTCCAAGCGCTATAGTTCTCCTTAGAACTATAAACTAAGAAAGATAACAAACAGTCCTTTTCAGGACTACACACCCCCATAAAGATCACCGAGTCAGAGTCCTTTTCAGGACTCCTAAATCCTCTCTCTCTCTCTCTCTCTCTCTCTCTCTCACATGGTGCACTCGCAAGCCTACTGAACATCAACATACCATCTTCTTTCTCATTTTCTACCAAATTTCCATCTAAAGAGTGTAATGTTTATTTCACCATGTGAATGTAGGTTTTATAATGAAGACAGCACCTTTATATATATATATATATATATACATGTATATATATATATATATATATATGTCAAAACTATGTATCCAGGAATCGTTGTGAGTAATAAAGGGAACACACCGTGTACATGTAAATACTCCAAGAAATGTAGATGTAATACGGTGAATTGTAGACAGCACATTGGCATGTATGTCAAAGGTATGTATCCAGGAATCGTTGTGAGTGAAAAGGGGAACACATCATGTTAAAATACCACAACATCAAGTACAACCACTCATTCACGGACTAGTAAATCCTCTACACATGGACAGTACAGTAACGACCAGACAATCACGTTTTACAGCATGCACGCTAATAGCGATACGCCACGCCCCCGGGCTATTGCGGTGAGAGAATGAGAACAAAACAAAGTTTACTGACAGACATTCCAGTCATTCATTAGCATTCTTAATGGGCGATCCCCTTCAAAGGATCAAAAAGACTACTGTCAACGTAAATACATCTAGCCTAGCTTCAAGCACATATTATCCCCACTTACTGTATTATTTAACATTACTATTGAGTGATTGACTTTTCTTTCAAGAATGAAAATTTAGGAAGGTATTACTCGGTCTGTGCAAGGGCGCTGGTGACTGAAGGGCCATATGCAAGATATACTGTACTACTGTACTATTACGTGTATCTTTCTGTTTTTGTTATTGTTGTTATTATTATAATTACTATCATTATCACTTCTTATCATCATCATCATCATCAATATTAAAATCATTATCATTATTGATACTAGTACTACATGTAATGTTATTATTATTTTTTATTATACTTGTATTATATTTATTACTATTATTATTGTTAATGTCATAATTTGATAATTATTATCATTTTCATTATAATCAATATTAGCATTGTCATCATGAGCATAATCATCACCATTAGCCTATCATCCAATTTCAAGCATGAAATTACTGAACAGTGGACCTACATACATGTACAGTACATGTACATTATTTACGGGAGCCCTTTTTTACTTTGGAGTTTTGAAATAAAAAAGTAAGATCATCCACATTGTAAATGTGGATACTTTTCTATACTGTAAAATCATGAATGATCAGTGCAAGTAACTTCTTGATCAGTGTCTGCATGAAATCGGATTCCAGGAAAAACTACTTACTGAAACATTCCCTCTCCCCCCTCCCCCCCCCCCCCCAAAGTGCCTCCATACATATAGCTTCATCTAACCTGTGTGACATACATGTAACTACACCCTCTGACTACTAAAATACAATTAGAAGAAAACTTCTGCACAAAATGAACGAAGGGGTCATTTCACTTCACTTGATTTCCATACTGTTGGATCAGAATGGCATAAACTCCTTGCAATCTACACAGAGTTAAAGCCCTCCTGTATCCGAATAGACAATATAATATATCAATTGGAGACAATACTCAAGAAGATAGCAAGATTTCAAACTAGATTAAAAACTTACAATAATCTACTTATGAATGGGCCTTGAGGTGAGTCTAGCATGACACTTTAAAGTCCTCTCAAATCTGATTACCTATTCATCTAGTCCTGGCACTGCTGAGATAGTGAGAATGATAATCTTAGACCTGGTCTATTGTTGATCTGATTCTTGCGGTGGGTTTTGAAAGAAGAACTTTCTATTTATAAAGCCCTCCTTGACAGCTCTCAAACAGAGATTGTAAACACTGCTAATAATGCATGCAATCTTTGATCTCAACTAGGGTCATCTGTTAAACTCCAAAGTATTTTGAGTTACAACATCTAATAGATACCGATCCATTAAGTACGTCAGAATGACAGAATGACAGATAAATGTACAGTTTAAATCTTCTCAGAACTTTATTAATCAAAGTAAAGACTCGAAGAAGAAGAAGAAGAAGAAGAAGAAGGAAGAAGGGGAAGGAGAAGGAGGGGAAGAAAGAAGGAGGAGTAGTAGAAGAAGAAGAAGAAGAAGAAGAAGAAGAAGAAGAAAAAGAAGAAGAAAAAGAAGAAGGAGGGTAAGAAAGAGAAGAAGGAGAAGAAGAAGAAGAAGAAGAAGAAGAAGAAGAAGAAGAAGGGGAAAGAAGAAGAAATAAAAAGAAGAAGAAAAAGAAAGAAGAAGAAGAAGAAGAAGAAGAAGAAGAAGAAAAAGAAAGAGAAGAAGAAGAAAAAGAAAGAGAAGAAGAAGAAAAAGAAAAAGAAAGAGAAGAAGAAGACAAAAAGAGAAGAAGAAGCAGAAAGAAGAAGAAGCAGAAAGAAAAAGAAGAAGAAGAAAAAGAAGAAGAGAAAAAAAGAAGGATAAGGAGGATAAGAAGAAGAAGAAGAAGAAGAAGAAGAAGAAGAAGAAGAAGAAGAAGCAGCAGTCATTAATATATGCGAATCTGAAATTGAGAATTTGGTTTAATAGTGCTTGCTAGTTGTGAGTGCTGTAATCAGGGACAACTCTCAAGTTTGTCATGTACACAAATATCAATCATTTCTACTTTCTTTATTATAAGTGCCGTCTCCCTTGGAGCACTACTCAAAATAGAAGGCCCTCCTATATTAAAAGACTGACAGAAGGCCCTCCTATATTGAAAGTTAAAGATGAAGTTGAGTTCTGGTCATGTGATTGCATTGTGAAAGAAACCGTGTGGAACCGACCAGAAAAGGTTGATCATCTAGCATATAAGAATTTGTGTGTATTATTGCAAGGTTCTGGAATCATCAAAATGATAAGAAATTTGGCCAAGTTACAAACACTATACACAGAAAGATGTATATGGGACTACACGAACAAGTGGCGTATAAAGCCTCCCCCCCCCCCCCCGATTTTTACGATGTTACATGCATATTTAGAATATGAAGGCATTTGAAGAGCCATGCTTTTCAGGGAACATGTCTTATCTGATGTTCTTCCACACTTGCATAATAAGAATGAGTAACGCTCACAAATTATTTTTCACCTCTTCCCAGAACTAAACCTTCTCTTTAAATACCGGTACATTTTGAAGAATTGAGATTTTAGTAATTTTGTGTGTTGGAAAATTGTTCCTCCACTACATCACAGTGACATAACCAACTGGGCAATTTGAAATACCCATACAACTTCAAAAACTCATAACTTTACTCCTTTTGTATCATTTTAGTTCAAGTTTTCAACATTCTGTGACTCTGATTTTGTTTCTGCTTTCTTTAGAGTAGTTTGCTACATGCATAAGGGTAGGATTTCCTTTCAAAATTAAAGGGATTGGGTATCTTTGTCTCAGATTCTGAAACAAAATCCTGGAGTTAGCTCATGCTGCAATCCTAATTATAAACCTTTAGGTCAGTCAGGAACCCCATGACGTTTACAAGCCGATCGCCCATCTGATTATCAAGATATTTATGATTGGAATTCGAAATGTCAAAAACAGTTTTCTCAACGGTCGGTGTAACACTGAAGTCTATTGGGGAAATGAGTACGTACTATGGTAAAACTGGTCACTCAAAGAATTTTTACTTTTTTGAGGCACTTCATGATCTTTTTGTAGCGCAATTTTTGAAGCACAATGTTTTTCAATATTATGCCATATCAAAGACGCTGATAACATGTACAATGTACATTGTAGGGCCATGCATCTCGGAGTTGGCATTAAACAATGCCTTTAAAGGACTGCCATGAGAACCGAACTTTTGAATTCCTAACCTAAATTTCACCCCAGGTGGGATTGTGCCGCCCACACAAAGGTAATAAAGAGATTCAACTGTCAATTGTAAAAAATATCTTTCTCTATCTGTCATAACACCTGTGTGTGACCTTAAACCTGAATGATTTTTAGTTCAATTCTGTCTTTTGCTTCAATTTTGAATTCACACAGTATGGCTAGAGAGAGAGAGAGAGAGAGAAAGAAAAAGAGAATGATAAACATGTACTTCTATGTCGGTACTTGACAGAATCAATCAGTCAGGATGTAACATTTGCATACTAAGTTTATGTACACTGTACATTCTATATGAGGCATGTTTACATGTACATGTACATGTACATGTATGTAGCCCTTCCTTACAATACTTTTAGGTTTATGTTTATGTTTTCTCACTGATTTGTTTGCTTGGCGATAAGAATACAAGTGAAGCTTGTTCACACGGATAAGCAATAAATGGACCTCCATGACAGTCTTTCAAGATCAAGACGAGTTTGAGTAATGTACAATAAAAAAGTTAAATACATGGGAAAGAACCTGGATAAAATATATTGTGAAATATTACATCTACATGAACAATATACATGTACAGGTACACAGGGAATAATTTTC